TACATAGAAAAACCCAACTATTCGAAGAATCCCTGAATGACGCAAATGAAACGACCATTTTTTCCAACCGAAAAAAAACCGTTTCAATGAAAATAACAAAAAAGTCAACCTAATTGTTCGTAAATAATGTAAAAATAGATATTTTTTTTATTTTGCTTCAAATTTATGTAACAGAGCATTTATGATATGTTTGTACGCCATATAAGGGTTTTTTTATAAAAAAAAATATCTGAACAATAAATTTTCACCGATTATGAAATAGCGTACGTTACTTTTAAATGATATATGTCACTTTCGAAGCGACGGAAATTGAAAAATGACGAAGAACAGTTACACGAAATAATAAAAATCCAATCATATTAAATGCGTATAACAAAAGTAAAAACCAATTGATCTAGCGTCACCAACCTAAAAAAGTTCGTTAAACAAATTGCTGTTAGATTTTGCTGTTAAATTAGGTTCGAAAGAGCTTTATAAGTACCAAAATTTCGCAAGAAAAATTTTTTGTTAGTGCGCAGAAGGTAGTTTCATGGATAAAATGTTGTGTTGTGAGATCGATTTTTTTGTTTGTTTGGTTTTGCGTTACTTCAGCGTCAATCTGATCTTGAAATATGATTGGCCAATGAACTTTTAGGTTAGTAACTAGGGATAGTAAAAAAACAGTTTAAAAATGGTATTATGTTTTTTAATTGTAACACGAAAACATTTTAAATTGCTGTTTATGGTTGATTGACCAGCACTATTATACCGATATTTGATTTTGGAAAGTCTATTACATTTAAATAGATGCTCTTTTAGTCGACTAATTTAATCACTGGAATCCTTTTCATAGGGAATACACTTTTGACAGTGTGTCTTTCGGCCTTGTTTCTAAATAAAATTGATCAACTTTGTTGGATATTTTAGTAATATCTAATAGATTTTCGGTTTTTTCCTGGCGTGCTTGCAATTGACATCTTGACGCAATAAAAGAATATGCTATATATGTTACATATCTACATATAGACGTATCAAATTTATTATGTATTACAATGCATAACGTTCATTTATGTCTTCCGATGCGAATATCACATAGGCATTTATTCAATTAATTTTACGTACGTACGTACGTGCGTACTGTACATGTGAAAGGATAAATTAGGACGCACTTATTTTAGCGAATACGTAATACATACTCTAAATAGCTAATCAGGGAGTGCAAATTTTGACTGTTTCGAATCAGCTCAACACAGAAACCGAACACGTGCAAAGGAAGAAAAAAAGCGAAAATACTCAAAAATTAGTGTTTAAATCAACCTTTTTGCACTAATTAAAAATGTCGCGAATGAAACTTTCATATAATGAGTATTAATCTTTTTTCTATAGCCTCTAACATTAAGGTTCTGACCCTAAATTTTCATTTCACGCAAAAAAATTTTTTTACTTTGAAATATTGTAGAAGTCTTTGAATAGTTTCAAATTAATTGTAATTTGAAATACACGTTGCTAATTGTTTTGTTTACATTATTTTAAATTAGTTAAGTAATCAATATTATTTTATTTAAATAAACGTTTAGAAGATTTCAAATATTTACGAAGTGTTTTAATATTTAAAAGAAATTTGAAATGATTACATATTTTTTATTTTACATTATTTTATATTAGGTAATTAAGATTAATAGAATGTTGCGTATCATGAAAAATTGGCATTATACACTTAGATGTTTATAATATGTAAAAATTTTGTAATTACAGTTACTTATTTTACAATATGTAACTTATTATAATTACGGTTTTGGATAATTACACTTGTTATAAGATATTTTGCATCTTTTTGTAGAATGTCGTAAATGTCGTAAATATAATATTACAATATTTTTTGCATAAATTTTATAATTACGACAAGTTATGGAATTATGCTCTTGTCTCTATTTATGCTTACGTGTTATATCAATATTAGATATTTTACAAAATGATATCAAGTTATTAAATATAATGATATCAAGAGAAATTACTTTAATTATATAAAATTTATAAGATTATAACATTTTCCCTTGGCATCTTTCTATTAAAGTTCTTCGAAAATTTATAGTTTTAAAATCTTTTTTCTAAAACAATTCACTAATTTCAATATTCAAAATGTCACGATCCTTAAGGAAAAAAGAGAATGTCCAAAAATATGTTGCTGACATAATTGCCGGTAGAAAAGCGACAAAGCCTGGAAGAAAAGAAAGAAGAGAAGAAGTTGCGGCTTCTCGTGAAGCAAGATACGAAGAAACACAACAAGCTGAAGTTTGCTGTATTTTCAATAAGCTTGTCAATATAGCTGATAAAATTGACAGAATAGAGCAGCGGATTGTTTCAATAAATGATAAGTTGTCTGAAAATTTTGATGTTACGCATGAAAAAAATTTTATCGATGTACGTTTTTGTAAAATTTCAAGTACTTCAAAATTATATTTTTTATAACTAAAGTCTATTTTTTTTTCTTTAAAGCAAACGGTAAAAGCAACAGCCAAAGCATTGTTTGATTATGAAATTTATCCAGAGCAACAGGATTTCAAGGAGGCTACTGAGGATTACCTAAATGCTAATAATAAGGATTTCCCCGGTGACCCTTCCAAAGATAGCTGGAATACTTATTATGAGAAAACATTGCTACGCCGGTAAATTCTTATTTATTTATTATTTATTTACTTTTTCTTTATTTATTTTTTAATTTAATCTAAAATTTTATTTATTTATTTATTTACTTTAATCTAAAATTATTTAGCTTTTAAAACAGTTTCGCTCATTACGTGATTCATTAACAACAAGGATTAAGGATGCATTGTTTAGTATTTTTGGTAACTCTATGTTGGATCCGATTAATACTAACTCTATTCCTGAAGAAGTAGTAACATGGAAGAAATCTACAAAGACCAAAAATTGCTACTTGAAACTTTTTGCACCAATAAATGACAGTGATCAAAGTGTTACGTATATGTCTAAAATTTTGCTTAAACTTTGGCCGTCAGACCAAGTTTCAAACAAAAAAGTGGCATTTGCGATCGCTGTGTGCCAAACTGTTCTAAATCCGAAATATAAAAAATTCTCGATTTCTGAAAATATACTTAAGAATGAAATTGAAAAAAATTTGGTATATTATAATATTTTAAAATATTTTAAGCTACTTTAAAATATTTATAATAATTTTAAAATATTATTAAAATTATAAATATTTTAAAAGTATTTTAAAAAAAAATTAAATTTAAATTATTGGAATTTCAAAGAGATTTAATACTTACGAAAACTTTAAAAATTTTAGAGAATACTAGAAAATGATGGATTTTTTTCCCCTCCAGTTTCAGTATCCTCAGGTGAATCAAATATTGAAGAAAGCTCAGATAGTGAAGAAAGCTTAGGTAGTGAAGAAAGCTTAGGTAGTGAAGAAAACTCAGGTAGTGAAGAAAGCTTCGAAAGCTCAGAAAGCTTAGATGAGGAAGTAAGTATTTTATGTATATTATATTAGATTTATATTATTAATTATCTAAATATTATAGTTGGAACAAAGCCGAAGAACTACTGAAGCCTCTTGTAATACTGCAGAGGGATCTCGCAGTGCTGCGGAGCCTTCTCGCAGCTCTGCAGAAGCACTTCACAGAGCTGCAGAATGTTCTCGCAGTACTGCAGAAACTTCTCACAGTACTGCGGAGGCTTATAAAAAACGAAGTATTACTGAACCTTCTCAACAGGTATAAAAATTTTAGTATAAAATTTTTAATTAAATATATTTTATAAGTTTTAAGCTTAATATTCTTTATATAGACACAAAAACGACTAAGAAAAGGTAAAGAACCTGTTGTGCAACTTTGACAAAGGAACCATCTACTTCTGGTTTTGATCAATGAAACAAGCAGAATCAATTGATTTCGAAGCACAAAGTGACGAATAATTAACTCACGAAGCCCTTAGTGAAGAAAATATTACGCATGATGAAGAACCGGCTAGTCACTCATCAGAATAATGAGCATAAGTTTATTTTTATTCAATTATTTTGGAATATTTCGTATATTTCGAAATTTTTTGAAATATTCCAAAATAATTCGTATATTGCATTATTTTTTTTTCTTGTTTTTTTTCTTGCTTCTTTTTCTTTTCCTTTTTCTAGTTTTTTTTCTTTATTGGTCTTTTTTCCTTGTTTTCTTTTATATTATCTCAATAAATAACAATATAAATTTGACTACGCTATACCAAATGTAATAAATTAAAAATAATATAAATTATAATGCGTATGTAATAAATGCTATTACAGCTATTTTAATTAATTAATTCGATAATTAGGAAGCGTGAATACTAATAATATCAAACTAATGCAATCTAAATTTTAACTATATAAAATTTATTTATTAAAGTTAATATAACACACATACTTGAACGTGATTTAGAAAGCCTTCGGAAACAATAGGCCGCATTAGTGGAACTCTTAGAAATACGTCGAGTAACACACACTTTGCATTCATTAATTAATTACATTCTCAACTAACTGCTGGGGAATATAGCAGTATTTAACTCGAATCTAATAAGAAAGTTGATAAGTATTATTATTTTTACAGTATTTTATTTTTTAAAAACAAGCATAAATTTACCTTTTTCCAGGTTTTTCATGGCCACCGTGCTCAGTTGCTTGATGGGCAGCACAGATTATTTGTAAAAATTTCAATATAACAAACTTGCGTTCCCAGGTTATTCTTATCTTGTTTAAGCAGATGCAGTCCTCTGTTGCACTAATACGATGAACTTTAAAAGTATTAACCGCCCAATATTTGAGCTTCGCATTACACTGAAGATCTGGATTTTTTTAGTACATTTAAACATTCATTATAGCGACTTCTATCCAACAAGCTTCGCTTGTTTTTTTCATTTGTTAATGAATGGCTCTAATATTCGGTTAAAGGTTTCACGGGTCATAAAATTATATTCTTGCGAATCCATAAGGGTTGAAGAAAATATGTAATAAAAGCGATACAGATATAATGAATAAAAAAAAAGAAATAAAGTATGCGACGATAAAAGAATTGTAAAAGTTAATGCAAATATCAATGTAAATATTAAATATTAATGTATTTATTAATAATTATTATTATCGCTATTGATAAAATATGTAATTATAATTAAATCAGTAGAAAATGTAGATATTTAATTCAAAGAAACAGTGAATGCGGATAACAATGCATTATTATTATTTTATTTTTGATTTTATTTTTTGTTTTATTTTTATTTTATTTTATAATTTTATTACAATTTCAAATATTTTAGCCTAGAATACCATTACTTAATATTACAAATTCATCTCAGCCTATACATCCAAACATGGAATTATTTGACATGCTGCTCTTTTAAATGTTAAAAGAAACTATGAATGTATTAAAAACAAAATGGAAGCAAAGCATGAAACAAAATGAAATCGAACATACGAACCTGGTGATTTAGTAAAAATTCGCATTCCCACCATTGATAAATTAAAGATGGATACCATGCAAGGTCATTCAAAGGGAACCTAACCGTGATTCTTACCAAGTTGACTGCAAATTTGGGGTCCTCGACAATTGGTACTCGGCAAATGAACTTGAGCCACTGGGTACTCCGATTATCCTGATCTCAACGTTGTACCACTAAATAATTTACTTTCGTTAAGAGAAGCAGGTGCCAGATAAAATCTTACTCGTGACAATAGAAACGTCCAACCTATAATCTTCAAGATGGCTATGCTCATAGTATTAGTGAGTACCCGTCAAATACGTTCCTTGAATAAATAATAAAAAAAAAACATAATAATCATAATAAAATTAATGATAATATTAATATTAATATTAATAATTTTAATAATTTTTGCAACATTAGCGTTACGAATAATAATATTGGTTCTAGTCAAGGCACCCGATAAGAAACATGTCGTTGCCGAAAAAACAAATTGTGGCACCAAATCATGTTCTTGCAGAAAAAGAAATTCATTATTCTCAAGAAAATGCGGACGTGTTCTATGCGATGAATGCAAAAACTTTTAATTAATGGTTAAATTATATATGAATATTTGAATATACGTTTAAAGAATAAAAATTTGACTACAGTAGTAATTAATGTTGGGCGAACTTTTATTCATTTTTTATTTCTTAAATTTATTTTATTTTAATTAATTTTTCGTTGAACGTATGAAAATTAGCTAGCAATTAACGTTAAGAGAGCATATAATAATTTATTTTTAATCGCTTTTTATTTCTTAAATTTATTTTATAGTATTTTAATTAATTTTTCATTTATTGAATGAAAATTTAGATAGCAATTAACGTTAAGAGAGCAAATAATAATTTATTTTATTCGCTTTTTTATTTCTTAAATTTATTAATTTTTTTTTCAATTTTTTTTCGCTTTTTTTTAATCGGTAAATGAATACCGATACTAAAACGATCTACAGTACTGTACTTCATTTCACGATCCACGAATGACAGGCGCCAATCCCGGATCGACTTAAATCCCGTATCGACGCGGAACATAGACACTGAACAAAACCCGTCGAAAGGTATTACAATAAAAACACCAGCATCACATGATTTTCCGGTCTCCGATTTTTATTTAACGTATGCAATATCGATATAATTTTTTTTGATTTTTTACTCATTCATATTTATTTATTTTTTATTTATTATTTTTAAATTTTTATTTATTTATTTATATTTCTGATTTATATTTACCAAAAAAAAAGCAATAAGGTCAAACTTTTTTATGCGAATAACAAAAACAAATATTGAATAGAATCAATATTTAAAAAACCACATCCAATAATTATTTATATAAATTGATTCTTTGCTTTAATTTAGATCGTGTATAGCTTTTTTCTAAATGTTAATATTTTCGAGTCACGAACGATTTTTGTTACGTACATTTTTACAACTTTTTACATTTCAACTGTACAGAATTAATCGACATTCGTTTGATGTATGTTTTCAAACGTTAAAATTAATATCAAATTAAATAAAAATTTCATTTAAGGTCTTAGGGAATTCTATGGATTTTGCTTCACAAAAGTTTAGTGCATGATTAATTGATGTTGGCTGCCTTACTTTCTGCTTTAGAAGTTTTATTATCAATTATTAAGAAAAACATGCCTGATATCAATATTAATTCATGTTTTACGATTTGTGTTAACATGTTAATAATAATGTAATAATTGTTGATTCGACAATTACGGTAGCAAAAATTTGCTTATTTAGTATTTATCTTGGATAAATAAATTTTTTCGTTTTTTTTTAGTTGTAAAAAAAAAAATTCCAGCCTTCGATTTACTGCGGTGCCTTTGTGTGTTACAATGCGTATGTATGTAATAAATCTCATCAAGGATATAAATGATTAAATGAACGTTACACGATGAAATATATATAAATCCTTAATAAGTTTGACAAGTTCATGTGTAACATATTCTTTCATTGCGTCAAAATGTCAATTGTAAAGCAGCCAGAAAAAGACGATAATTCATTAAATATTACTAAAATGTCTAACGAAGTTAACCAATTATGTTTAGAAGATAAATCACAGGATTTACTTAATGAAGCTATTAAAGAAATGTATGATTTGTATAATAAGGAACTTTCGAAAGGCAAAAGTTTTTGTTTAATAATTGATGCTTTAGAACAATTTCTTGTAAAAAAAAAGCAAAATCCAGATAATATTATCAAATATTGCTTAGGTAATCAATCAGATCCTATAGTTCAAATCATTCTTGCAACTTGTTATCGTTGTGGTAAATGGTTTGAAAAGAATGAACAAAAGGCGTTCATTTATTATCAAAAATCTGCTAAGATGGGTAACGCCCTTGCTTTATTTGAGGTTGGTGATTGTTATTTTGATGGAACTGGAGTTAAGAAGAATCAACAAGAGGCATTCTTTTATTTTCAAAAATCTGCAAAGATGGGGAACGCTGTTGGAATAAATAATGTTGGATATTGTTATCTTAGTGGGCATGGAGTTAAAATGAATGATCATAAGGGATTCATTTATTTTCAAAAATCTGCAACGATGGGGAACGCTCGTGGGATGTATAATGTTGGGGTTTGTTATCAATATGGAAGTGGAGTTAAAAAGAATATCCAAAAATCCTTTGAATATTATTTAAAAAGTGCTAAATATGGAGATGACTGTGGAATGTATCAAGTTGGTTGGTGTTATCAAGAAGGATTTGGTGTAGAAAAGGATAATGATTTGGCTTTTGAATGGTATTTAAAATCTGCTATTGCTGGACATGACTGTTATATTCATGAAAACTATTTCCAATGGATAAAATACGATGATTTTAGAAATATTGAAGATGTAGGTAACGGTAGGTTTTCCTTAGTGCGTAAAACATTACATGGACCATACGAAGAAGTTGCAATCAAGATCATTAAAGATTCGCATAAAAATAAGAAAGATTTTTTAGACGAGGTATTTTATTACTTTTTTTTTTACACATAAATTTATATTATTTATGAATTAATTAAATATAATTTGTTTACTTCTAGATAAAAGCGCATCACGAAATTGGTGAATACTATGGCATATTAATGAATAAAAATACGGAAGATTTTATTTTAGTGCTAAATGACGCAAGATTAGTATCATTAAATGAAAATCTTAAAGATATATTTAAATTGGAATGGAAAATTAAACTAAAAATATTATGCGATATCATTTATGATCTATCAAAAATACATTCTAAAAACTTTATGCTTCGAGATTTAAATTCTGGTAATATTTTACTAAATGAACGATATGAAGCTTATATTGATCTAAATTCATCAATATCGATTGATGAAAAACAGAATAATCATATTTATGGAGTT